TACAAAGTGAATAAATTGTAATTAAAAAAAGAAAAAAAAATATTTATTTAAAAGAACAAGAGTGTCAGAAGACATGAGAACTGAGACCCATGATGAATCAATACAGAGATCCAGCTCTCTGTCATCTATTGTGTAGCCACCAAAGTCTGCTCTGTACCTCCCCTGGCCACTTCTGTGTATATCTGTGTATGTATATTTGTGTAACTCAACCTTCTGTTCATGGACCCAGAGGCAGAAACAAAGCAGAAAGCAGCATCTATACGGAAAGCAGGCGGCTTTGCTTCTCTGCCTCATAGTGTGCCCTTACTTAATCAAAGGTCGGAGACTGTCAGTGCAAAAGTTTCTTTGTATGTCCAAGGCTTAAAACCATCAAAGAAAATTGCTAACTGAATCAGATATAGTTCTCTATGTGGAAATAGTAACTCCAGATGAGAAACACCCAATATTTAAAATTGGTTTTGCTGTTAAGTTGCCGACTGCCAGTAAGTGCCCTCCTTTCTCTGGATTTGTTTCTCCTCTCTAACCAGTAGTCACTGCACCTGATAGATGTAATGTTCCTCGTGCTAGAGGTTTGTTGGTGTTGGTGGCTGGATGGTTTGGTTTGATCTGATTTGGTAAACCCAGGACCATGCACAAGCTAAGCAATCTTTCTACTATAAAACTTTATCGGCCTTCAGTCACAGCCCATATACTTCAGATGCAGATAAAGTGTGGTCCTTGTGCCACTGTGTCTCATTTTGACATGTTCTGAGAGCCAGAATCTTCCTCAAGCTGTTCCCAGGGGGAGTGGTGGCTCAGGCCACAGGCATATGCCTGTGCAGCCTGCCCACTTCTGAGTGCTGTGACCTGACATGATGCTGATACAAGACCATTTCCATCCAATCACTGAGTCCACGTTCACATGTCAAACATACTATAGACCATTCAGGAAGAAGGCCACCCTGCCTCACCTCTCACTTAGCCAGATGCCCTGCACTTAGTTAGCTCCAAGACATTTATAAGCAGAGAGATTGAAATTCTGCGGTGGATTTTCATGACAAAAATACTTAGAATTGTCAGAACAATAGAGTGCGGTGGAGAATTCACCACAATATGATCTAATCGCACTGCTGCTCCAGCACAGATGGGGCCGGCTGCTGTTCTTGGTGGGAAAAGCTAACTTAGAGCTGGGACTCAGCCTTCTGCTGGCAGGACACTCACAGTGTGTGTGCAGATGCTCATAGAGATGATGGTGCAGAAGTGCTCCTGAGGTGCCGTTACAGTCTATTGTCCCCACAATCTATGTATTTAGCAGACCCTGAACTCCCTGCAACAGCCACTCAGAGCAACTCCACTGGTGCCGTTCTGGCCGATCAAATCAGTGATGTTTCATACTAAAGTGGCAAAATAGAGATTTTCTGAATAAAGTGAAACAGATCATGGGCAAATATGTATTCATACGGACACACGTGTGAGCCTGTGTGTGCTATAAAAACAAAACAACAACAACAACAAAAATAGCTTTCTTGTTCCTGGGCCACACTGCTTACACATACAGTGTCTGTTTAATCACACCAAGTGTGATGAAACATACCAGACAATGGCAGACACATGAGATCCCCTGTCTCCTGCAGCACTGGACAGTGCTGTGCATCCCATCTGGCCTGGCTTCCGCTAAAGACAGTCACATTAGGCCAGGTCCTCTTTTCAGGGTGGCTTTCGTCTAAAGACTGACTGTCATGGATACACAAAATCCATTCCCCTCTAAACTTTTGATGCGATTCTCAGTAACTAGGCGATCCCGAAGCTTGTGGAGGAGTTGCTGTTGGAGGCACAGGGCCACCATCTCCTCACTCTGTCCTGCTTTGTCTCTGCCCCTCCTAGAGATGGCAGTTCTATGGAGTACCTTTCTCCCCAAACACACACTTGGCACAAATATCCAGCTAATGGCCTGCTTCCCACAGAACCTAGTGTGTGTTAAGTTCTTTTAAAGAATGTTCAAGTAAGAGAGAAGTGTATTTAATAAATGATAAGGTTGGTGAGAGCAATGCTGTGAAACTAACCTAAAGCTGTGATATAGGACCCAAAAAACAAATTTCCAAGTCTAATTTAAAAGTCTTTGTACTTAAAGAGAACTAGGCCAGTAATTCAAAGGTGGGCAATTTTGAAGCCAAATAGTAAACTGGATTTGTCCCAATCCACCTTCTAGTCATATTGAATATTACACGCTTATCCTTTTTGACTTAGAAAAAGTGAAAAGAAATAGTGGTGCCCCTATGGAAGGAAAGTTACAAAATCTAGACGGAGATCTGAATCATAAGAGAAGCTGCCGTCAGTGATCTCTGGAGTGGGGTTCTTGAAGCATTCTAACTGCAAACCTTCTAAGTTGCTGGGCTTCTGGCCTAGCAAGCCTAGAAATTCCATCTAGATGCCAAACAAGGCCATGTCACACAAACCACCCTCAGGAGACCTGAGATTCTAGAAGAGCTAATCAACATATATAACATCCCTAAAGAACATGGACTTCCAGTGTCCCAAATTCAACCCCAGTAAAGTAATCTACTAACAAAATGAGTCCCTTCAATTAGGAAACCACAGCTTCCTGGTTCTGTGGAAACCACTTTGCTGCTTACCTTCAGGGATTCAGATCTCTTCAGCATGTTTTACTTTAGGTTGTAATTTATCAGTGTGTTCGAAGTCAACCTCTCATACTTTCCAAGCAAAAATAAAGTTTTATTTTTCATTTTCAGATTTTAGATTTATATTTCTTCCTCTCAAGTGAATTAAGAAAAGTCAATGGGAAATAAAAATTAATCTTTGGAATTTGAAGTGGATATTTGAACTTGACCTTCAAAAATTAATCTTTGGAATTTGAAGTGGATATTTGAACTTGACCTTCAGCTCCAACTGATCATTGTAAGTAACTGCATATGGTACAAGGTATTAATTGTTTACTTAGTATTCCATGGGTATGTGTGTTGCCTGGGTTTATGTATGGTGTGCCAGATCCTGTAGGATGCTAATCAAAGTCACAGTAAGTGAGAACTGAGGGGAAAACCGTGTCTTTACTAGGCTTTGGGAGGTCAACTCTCTCTGGAGCTAATGTTCCTAGTCCTTGTGAGGCTTGGAGTAGCACGTCATATTACCAGCTGCAGCAGCCCCATCCCACCCCACACCCCAGATGTCTCCTAGTGTGGTCCAAGAGTACAGCAGTAAGGTCAAGAGGTTGGAAATGAGCTATACGTCCGTACCCCTTGTAATGGGTCATATTCTTTCCCTAACAGAAAAGCCTCAACCTTTATGCAGCTGTGAATGTGACCTTATTTTGAAATAGAGCTTTTAGAGATGTCATCAAGTTAGAGTAAGGTCACAATAGAGGAGATGGGCTAGAAACACAGACAGAAGGCAAGCAGGAAAGACAGGAGTAAATCATGGTAAAGCAGGTATAGGCCAGGCTTCCTGCAACAATTAGAAGCCAGGAAGAGGAGAAGCAGATACTCCATGAGAGCTGCAGAGAGCACAGCTTGTACCACCTTGCCTGGGAACTGGCCTCCAGAGCCACACAGCTGATGTCCCTGCTACTCTACACAAGCCAGTGTGCAGTCACTTGGGAAAGGGTCACACCTGTGTGTCCAGATGGTCACGCCACACACAGGAACACACCGCCAACCTCTCCAGGAGCAAACAGGAAAACCCTGTAGGGTTCCGGGAAACCAGGAGTATTTAACTTCTGTGCAAACTCTGCCACTGTGTCCTCACTACAGTTAGCAAGGATGGAAGCAAAGGTGAGTCTCAGCAGCCCGCAGTTTTAGTTTACCGAACACAAACTTGATGACATCTCTAAAAGCTCTATTTCAAAATAAGGTCACATTCACAGCTGCAATTTTTTTTTTTTTTTTTATCATTTGCTTAAGAACTGTTACTACTGTCTATCACATATTTTATCTGTCCCTCTACAGTTGCCCACATTTAAAAGTTTCTCACAACTTAGTGCTGGGCACATACTTGAGTTGTTCCTATCAGGCACACTGCTCCCATTCACCCTATTTCCACTCTTCTTCAGGAGGCCAAATGGTCTTTTTGTATGCCAGTCAGATCTCTTTCACACCCCGGATAGATCCAGTGTAGGAGGAAATGAAGAGGCTTGCCAGAGCCCACCAGATCTAACATGCTTTCACCTCCTGACTTTGGCTGCTCCTTCCCTATGACACTCTGGCCACACTGGCCTGTACACCCATAACTCTGTTTGTCTAGAATGCCTTCCATCCTGTTTCTGTGACTATACCATGGCACCATCTATCCTGAGTCATGTCTCCAGACAGTCTCTGCTGCCACTTCTAAAATAACCACCCTAAGCTAGTTTCTTCCCCTTAACTTGCTTTTATTTCCTCTTGGTTCCTAGACATGTACTGACATTGCCTTTTAGACTTGCTCATCCCTTCACGGTCTCTCTCTCTCTCCTTTTAGTGTGTGCTCTGTTTAGTTCAGGCTTTCATTCTAGACTCACATCTGCATGAGTTTGTCTCAGAACAGGTACTGGATAAATGATTTGCTAAATCAAAATGATAAAAATCTGAATATTGTTTGAAATGTCCTTGTTTTTGTTTTTGTTGTTGTTTGTTTGTTTGTTTACTTCTGATGGGAAGCATAACATTAGATTTAATGGTGAGCAACAGTCACTTAACAATTATTGTGAGCTTACGTGTGTACCCTTTTAAACATTCTTGTACTCTATTCTTATTCTAATAATGTAATTTACAGTCTTAATTAGACTGCTCCTATCTACCTCCGAATGGGACAGAGACACCAACAGGCAGGTAGGTTGGGTACCTGGGAGGCGACCTAAGTGCCAACCAGCAGCAATGTGAACATGTGACACAGGAAAGACAAGTAAATTACAGGGCGGCCCTCAGGCTGGAAGCCCAGCTCCTTGGTAGCGGGTTAGGACCTGGAAGCCTGTGAGAGAGGGATGAGAGTGAGCTGGTGGGCCTGCCACGCAGAGGAGAGGGGCGCAGGCTTACCTTCTCATTCCTGCAGTTGCTCAGCCCCATGTTGTTCATAGAGGATAGTTTCCCATCAACTCCGTGTGGCTGCTGTTGCTGCTCCCGTTGGATCTGTTCTCGCATCTTCCGAGCCTCCTGAATGGCTTTCATCACTGTGTCCTGGTCCCCAAATAGGGCAGGAGAGTTGAGACTGGACAGGATATCTGCATACACAGGGTGCATTATTAGAGGAGTGTGGAGATGTTGCCTCTCAAGTGCTGGCTGCGATCCACTCCATGAGGGAACACTGACCTCTGAACAAGGAAGGGGCACACTTGTTGTTAAGAAAACAACACTAGTTGGAGCACAGAAAGTGAAGTCAACCAAGCTGTACTGTCTCAGGGTGCAGTTAGTCCATGGAGGACACCCAGCACTCTGGGCTGTGTGGTTGTCTTCTACCTCTCAAAGGTCACCGACTGGTCCTAGGTTCTAATCTTGTATTTGTTCTGCTTTTTTGCCTGCAGTATCAAGGTTCCTACATTCTGGCCCTAGAGGTACTGGCAGGTGGTAGCTGCTTTGCATGTGTCTACAATTGGTGTACAATCTTTTCTCATCTGTGGGGGAGGGACAAGATGGGGGACAGGCAGCAAGGCAGCTGGGATTTCTGTCCACATCCTCTGTTTATTTGGTGTATTGTGTGTAGGAGAGCAGTTTGAGGCTCAACAGAATGAGCCCTGAGAGGGTGCATGTGCACTACAGTGACGTGTGTGTGTGTGTGTGTGTGTGTGTGTGTGTCTACTGCAGGAGTGAGGGGGCGGGAGAACCACACCGCGCTCTCCATTCTCCAAGGGCTGGCTGGTTAATGAAGCATTCTTCTTATCATGCTGCCTCGGTTATTTACCAAGAGGATGACAACCCTGCCCCACCCCCAGTTTGGACACCCACTGCTCCCAGCCCTCTATCCCCACTCCCACTCCTGACGGTGAAGCAGTATGCGTGCCAATGGCTTTCACATGAACGCAAATCCTCAAATCAAGTAAGAATAAGCCTTTTCTTCCATTATATTCCATGTAACCCAGGGGGAAAAAATGAAGTGGAAACTAGTTTTCCCCTACACCTTGCATTTCACTCAGCTTAAATGAATACTTTGGATCAGTTTTTCTAGTTTTAGACAAAGGAGGGCAATTATTTGATCACAGATAGGTTTCAGCTGCTGTTGTGTATTTGACATGGTCTACTTGTATGAGGCCCTTTGTATTTCATCACACATGTGTGTGAGAGGCATGTATGCATATATGCACACACCTCACACAGACAGTGGTATGAGGAAATCAGACTACAATCAAGCTCACACCACATGCCTTATATGTACAATGTGTGTGTATATATATATATATATATATATGTTGCAAAAATTTACAAAAACTTTCTATGAAAACATTTTTGAAAGTCAGTTACTCTCTTATAGAATACTGAAAAACATTTTCTTTTGTTTTTAAGTTTTCCTGCTTAAAAGACACTTTTGTGCAATATTATTTGCACAAGACTTCTATCCAATACCAGATGCTTTTGCTCCTGCCCACCTGGCTTCTGACCTAACAAGCATGCTCTGCTGCCAGCACAAGCAGGGCCTGTGACATATCAGCTCTGTCTCATCTCTTTTGATGCACAGCCCAGGGAGCAAGTGCTTTCCAAACAAGATGTGAAAGTGGACTGCACAAGACCCACTTCAAGAAGTATGCTGGCTCCCTTTTCTCTCATCTCCCAACTCCCAAAATGCCAGCCAGGAGAAATGCTTAACATTAACTCTCTGGGTGTGCATCACTTCTCACTTCTCCCTGAGCTCTCCTGTCAGGGAGTAAGAAGCTGTGGCTCCTGTGAGAGGAACCTGACTGGAAATCTGAACAGGCTGCTGTCCACATCCTAATGCTCCAAGTGTCAGTGAGGACACAACATCTCACTGTCAGAAGACCCACTCACACTCAGCCCAGTTGAACACACTTCTAACTGTGAACTTCTTGAGAGTAGTGAGTTCTGGGTGACTGACCTGTGTATAAGTCCTGGTTATGCTAATTCACAACACAGGTCCGGGGCTCAGTTATTCTACCTGTAAGAACTACACTGTCTAACTTGTAAAGCCAAGTGGAATTAAATAAGCAAGACTAGATATGAAATTGTAATAGTTCTCCCCATTGCTAATTACAATAGCAATATGCTCTAGGAGTCAACAAGGCAAGGAAGGGTACATGGTAACTCCTCTGAATATCCCTGCCTTGACTTGGAGACCAAGAGACGTGAGGAGTCCAGTAACAGTACCCTCAGTGTTTCTGCTTTGTTCCTGCTCACAGGTGCTCTCCTGCCTTTGCTTCCTTCTCCCTAGCCACCTAGCAGTCTTTCAAAACGGAGAGCTTTGGTGTCCCCAACACTGCAAGACCCTGTCAGGTGGCCTGTTCTTCTCTTCTGCCTTACAGTAGCCATGGGCTACAAAATGCTACTGCCCATTCAGAGGATATGAAACACGAAATAACTAACACGAAATAACTCGAGAGTCACAACACTTTTCAAACAGGGGTGTGAAAATCCCTAGAGAGCTTTGAAAATACACATCAGAAGGAAAGAAAGAAAAGACACATTGTGATGTGGCTTCCATGATTGGTGACATTTTCCGAAAGTTCTAGTTGCCCCATAAACTAAGTTGGGTTCTACTTCAGTGGAAAGCATGTCACTACCACCCTTCCCAAGGAACACACAGGACCTGAGGGCTAGCTGGCCAGCTAGGTTTCTTTCTAGTTCACAGGTCTCTTCCATTTACCTAAGGAGGATCCTCTCCCCAGGCTTCCTCCGATGGGGCTGGGGATGCTGCTTTTGTTTGGCAGGTTGATGGGGCTGGTTTTGCTGGCTGGGAAGAGGCTCTGGGTGGGAGATGTTGGGGACTTCAGGGGCTCTGCTGTCTTAGGCCTGGATGAGAGATTCAGCGGCTGGGCTGTTGTTTCGTCCTACAAGAGTTAACATAAATAATTATTTAAAAAAAGACAAATGGAGCACATTATCACTTAGTAAGCCACAGTTATTTTACACCTCCGAGACAATGCCACATTCTCCTACAATAATAACAAAAGAAGCTAATTATCTACCTCCTTGAAGATTCATCGGAAGGAACCTCATTAATTTCCCTGTGTTATGCTTCTATTTACATTAACTGTGTAGTTGGATCATTCTTTTTGCCAAATTAAAATCTGAATTAGCTCACATTACAGCTTAATTTCCTAATGTGTTTTCAGGGATCTAAATTAACCTTGGGCATTTACAAAGAATTATTTAAAATTTCAGTAGCTCTGTAGTGCTTTTGTGTTAGTGTCTCTGAAAAGTTCCTGTGACTATAAATAGTCCCTGCAGCTAATTTTTTGATATATATTTTAAATCAAACAATCCCAAGTACTTTAGAATGGAAACATGGAAAGCCATCTTCTGCTCTGCAGGGCCTCTGCCCTCAGAGTCCCATGCACACCACAGGCTTCTATGTGGCTTTCTGGGTGTGGGTGCACTTGTGGTTTATATTCTGGTCTCTATTCATGTTTAAAATTAATTTTTGTGAAGAGCAAGCACACATTATAATTATGTTTTACATGCTATGCTATATGCAATTTATTTTTCATGCTTAAAGTGATGTCTTGTTACAATCTTTGCTACATATGTTTATGGAATGTCTGTTTTAAGGCCCATATCCCTCCACACTGAGCCCAGTATTTTCATCTTTGGCTTGGAACCCTAGGTTAGCCAGTGACTTGAAAGTTAAGCAATGTGTTTTCATTTTTGTCTCACTTATTCTACTGTCAAAGAACTACAGACAATGTTTCTATCACTTTAGGAATATAGCGATGAACATGTGATTCAAAGTTTCAAAGTTAAGATCTGCATTATTGCATTCGAAAGTAAAATCATTGGCAAATGTCAGATCTGGGAGGACACAGAGAACTTGCTTTCAATGATATTATTGAAAATACACAACGGAACCTAGTAACAGAACATTCTCTTCCATAGTAAACATGTGATCTCATTGAGGCATATTTCTCCAACTATAAAAAAATGGCCATATATTAAGGGATGTCAACCAAGATACATGACAGAGAACAATACTGGAGGAGGAGGGGAGAGAGAGAGAGGACAAGAGCATGAGCAGAAGTGACCATGCAGCAGGCACTGCACTGGGTGCCTGCAGTGTATCAGGCCACTCAGCCATGGATGCCGCTAGGAGGGTGGACTGTACTACTCAAGACTAACAAATGAAGATATGAGAATCAAAATAGTACAAAGCTGCTTCTCAAGGCCATCTAGGGAGCAAAGAATTTGAATCCAACATACCTCCCTATCTACCAGGAAAAAAAAAATCATTTGTATATTAATCTAGTGCTCTTCTATGCTTGGGCTGTTGTTGGTTGGCTGGTTGGTTGGTTTGGCATTTACAGGAAACAAGTAGTCTGTCATATCTATGTTGCAATGCCTTTTAATCTATATTTAGTATAGGGCATGTTCCGAGGAAACAAGATTATATCCACTATGACTGTCAAAATTATCTGATGTGCTAAATTAACATGCTTCCCTTTGCCCTTAATTCAAAAGATATTTAAAGTAGTTACTTTCTTCACTCATACTGGAATCATAGCAATTTATATGCTGAGTATTTGGTTCATGTTCTCCATGTTTCTTTTATTTAGGGTTTGCTAAACTTCTAAAATGTCTGAGTTTACAGTTTTTGTCCAGTTAGAGATATGTTCCTCCATTATTTCTCCAATGATAACTCCAATTCTTTCCTCCAGTTGTGTGTGTTACACAGACCATTTGATGTTGTCCCAGTATTAACAATCTTTCCTCTGTGTTTCACCTTGTATATTTATGTTCTATGTCTTCAATTTTACTTCATTTTTTTTCTTCAGGTGTCTAAATTGCCACTAATCCCATCCAGTTACTGTTCATCTAAAGAACTGTACTTATTACTTGTAGGAAACTCATTAGGATTTTTGTGCCTTGTCTTACTGTATTTACATTTTCATGAAAATATGGAATTTGTATCATCCTTTTGAGTTTTAGATTTCCCCTAATTTATTATTTATAACTCACAATTAATGTCAAGATGTTCTCCATTTCAATTCATGATAGAGGAGAGCATCAGGTTTACTTTCCCATGGTAAGAACGCCCCCTCAGGATACAGGACATGACTATTAGACAGTGCTCTTCAGGCATCTATGCTGGGAGCCTGGCACAGCAATTCCTGAAATAAATGAATTCTAGACTGCTCCCACTTGACTATCTAGAAGGAATTTTTGGAAAATGGCATAGGGAGCATGGCAGCCTCCATAAGTAGAGTTCAGAATTTATGAATGTTAATGTTGACAGAACTTTTGAGGGGTACCATATCTGTTGACAGATATGCAGAGAGAAAGAATGCTAAGGAACTGTCAAAGATTGGCCTGCATGCTTAGTTAGTTGTGCACTGATCAACAAGTAAATGCATGTGAGAAGGCAGCTTGAGGCTAGGTAGAGTGAAGAAGGGAGTAGGCAAAATGACTATGTGTTCATAAAGGACTGAGAATGGCTTACTCTCACATTAACACGGTGCAAATGTCCCCTGATATACATACAGGGCATTAAATAAGGTCCTCAGGAGGCTGCTGCCTCATTATGGAGCTAACCTACCTTGCCATTCCTGGTTGTTTCGAACCTGACTAACAAATATAAAAAAGTACACCCTGAGAAGATCCAATGGTTCTCTCTCAGAATGGATTTTAGATATTAAAAGAGATACAAACACTTTAACAGCCAACAATGTTAAATTCAAAATGTGTAGTGTGTATTCAATAAATATGAGCTTACACAGAGACATGACAATGTGAATAAAGAAGAGAAAAATAGAACAGATTTCAAAAAAAACATCAGGATGGCAGAGATAGTAGCATTAACAGATACGAGACAGAAAATTGACAGTCTATAGAAGGCTACGATGCAGGCAAATGACCACGTCACCAGTCTAGAATATATAACCCAAGAAAACACTTAGATTATTTCTATGTAATAATCGTGAAATTTTATGACATCTTGGTAGGGCTAATTGTGTGTCTCCTCCACAAAGTCTAAGATAGCACAAGGCATTTGTCAGGAGACAGGCTGTAGGGACTCAGTGTGCCTTGCCAGATTGAAAAGGTTTTCGCTCTGTATGGAGATGATAAGTGATACTCACGGCCCAGCTCAATGATCTGGATCTTTCTCAATATGGAGGTTTGCAATCAGACACTTCCATTCCAACACTGACACTACCTTCATTTCCTTCATGACCACCATGCACAGCCTCACTACACCACCATTTACGGAATGCTTATTACATGCTAGAGAACATATGGTCTCATGTAAGGCCCATAATACTATCAACTCCCAAATTACAGTGACAGACTTTTAACAATGAAAAAAACCTCTGTTTATCTCTGTTATCTTCTGCAAACCTGGCCCTTTGTCATATTTCACTACACAATGCGCAATCATGCTCTAGAGAGAGAAAATGACTATATGGAGAACCAAGATGGATCTGGATGATCAAATCTCCACAGTTAGCAGACTGAGTTTACTCTCAGACGTTCTTAGTAATAGGAACATTCAATTTAAATGCTCACATTATGTTTTGACTAATATATTTGTGCTCACATACATAATATATGATCTAAGAAGTATAAGAAATGGGTCCTTTGTTGCTAACATAAAATAGTCAAGTCAAACCATACAGAACTCTTATTCCTAAGAATTTGCATGTGGTCAAGTGAGTAATAAAATCTGTTGGCCCACAAAGCTGGAATGGTAAAAGCAGATAGAAACTTGACTTTAGCCAGGGAACATTTACTCATCCAGTAAAGGCTTGGTTTGGTGCAGTTCCAGCTGGCCAACTTAAATTACAAAATGACTTTTTCATGTTAAAATGTTTAATACCCAAATAGCCAAGCTGCTGGCGTTTCACATGCCCTTTCTCTAGCGACTATGAGGAAACTTAGTCCCGGGGCTGAGCTATTGTACTATGAGTTTTATCCACAATTAAGCCTTCAGAATATAAAATAGTGTGTCTCCACACACTTAAAATTTCTGTGTTAATTCTTATAGCTTAAATTTTCTAACTACATGTGATTTCACTAGAGAATCTAAAAGAATGGGTTTAATATTAATTTAATTTAATTTAATTAATTTAATATTTGGGGGTAGAGCACAGACAACTCTTGTTTTTGGTCTTCAATATGCAGAGTTCATTATTTTTGTAGACTTTCTGAAATCTCCACGTTGCTATCTGAAAATTTACCAGAGTGTAACAGCTTTGGCGGCTACAGAGCCCCCAGCAGTGATGCCGACTGCTCTCAACTGTTTCCTGTGCAGATTCAACAACTGCCCAACTTCACACATGATCTGCTTCTGACACATTACAGCCATGCAACTGCACTTAGCATACCTCTCCAAGGTCTTAGTCGATTACTCACAACAATTGTTTCTCCAAACTGTGTGAATTTATTGACTCAATATAGGAAGCAGAAACAGTCTCCCAAGCCAACTTACTGGGACCAGATGCAGCACATATTTGAAGTGCCTGATCATGTTCCTTGTCACCAAGATGCCCTCAGGTAACCAGTTTGAGGACATTGAAAAATCGGTCAAGACATGACATCGAAAGTGACATCAGCCAATGACACCCTATTCCTCAGCTCCTCTTCATAGCCAGTTCTGAAAAACAGACCTCCACCAAACTACGCCAAGTCCAGCTTAGATCTCCTTTGATGCTCTTTTCACACCAAAGGTTGTAGGCCCTAGTCTGACACTGTGAGTGGGCCCTCCACCTGTGTAAGGAGCATGGGGAGAAGTGTTGCAAGCCCATGACAAAGACTGACAATAAAAGCGCAGCCGTTCCCGCCAGTGAACATTAAAAATGAAATCCACACTCTGAAGGGAGAGATTTTTTGAGGAGTGAGTTTTTGGAGTTAGGTAAGGATCTCACAGTACAGCACTATTGTTATCAAAAGGGAAACACCTGTTTCTCAATGCTCAATCATGACATTCCACATAAAGAGGCGCGTTTGGGTTCTTTTATGTTGCTGTGTTCCAGCTGCTTATTCCCAGCATAGCCCGGTTCACTACCTTTCTTACAAAGCTGTTTTCCAAACCGTTCCCACAATCTTGCAGTGCAAGTACCTTAACTTGAGTTACAGGGCTGGTCCCTCTCTTTTCATTTTTTATCCCAGTAGGTGAGACCGCCCCTGCTGTGTTTGGTGGCTGTGGAGTTGATGGCATCTTTGCTCCAGGTGACACCTGCATGCTGGCCAGCTGAGCGGCATAGAGCTGCTGCAAAACAGAGAGGCAAACGTTGGTCTCGTTAAACGTGGCTGAAACGGGTTCAAAAAAAAAAAAAAAAAACACTTACCGTATTGTCAGATAACATGTCTCACAGTTCTGCGATTTCTCTCTCACTTTTTTTTAAAGAGGAAAATGAGAAAAGGCAAGAAACTCGGAAAGGAAGAAGGCTTAGGGTGAGAAACCTGGTGCTGTCGCTGTTGCAGCAGCGACACTGGGACAAGACTGGTCTCTCTCCAAGTCAGTCCTTTCAATCGCACTAAAGGGAGCTTGGCTAAGCCATCTCCGAGGCTTCTTCTAGAGCCTGAAATCACTGTGCAAAGGTCTGTGATGTCTGAGGTGTCCACTCATGGACTAAGAAACTTGAAGTTCCCTGAGGAACCTCAGTCATACCACACTTCTCTGGGGACTCCAGTCCTCCGTGAAGATCAGTGCCCCCTAAACCCCCCTGAGTCTGATGGCAGTCACTTCCCTCTCAGGGTCTTATCTCTAGGTACCATGTAACAGTCTTTGACAGGGTATAGCTGAGTAGCCACAGAAACAAAAAGTGAAGCTTCTTTTCCTGGCCCTAGGGCTGAATGAGGTAAGCGAGAGTCCCCTTTCTGCCCAGAATAGTTCTGCTCGTGTCTTCCTGAGTTCTCCTTTGTTTTGGGACTCCAGGCTTATCTCCCTATATTTCCACTGCTGTCTCCTGGCCTCTTCTAAGTATTTGCTATGGTTGTCTTTAGTGGTAGACATATGATTTTACTCATCCTCTGCTCCTTCATACAAGTGTTCCTCCTCCTGAGACAAGATATAAACAGACGACCTGACACCATACATCCTAAAGTGATCAACATTAAGTTCATTGATTTAACCAAACGCAGACCCAAGATTGTAAGATAAGCCAATCTCACTTTCATATAATTTTAACTTTTATCAAAGTAACATTATACATGATTTCATGAATTAAATATTTCTTTAAGCCTTTTAAACAAAAAGAAAATTACAACAGCATGGATAAGGTAAAGCCCTTTACCACCATACATGATAGCCTCGGCCTCCTGGCACTGCCCTTCCTACCTCACTCCTACTCTGTGGAGACCATCTCTTTCAACTTAGTTGATATTCTTCCTGGTACTCATCACCCTGCTGGCATTCGTTTATATACTGTTCTGTCTTTAACCACTGACCTCACACAGGTGAATGAAAGCTTAGCTTTATTGCATCACCAGCCACATGTGCTTTCCTGCATCTCTCCAATTGCTTAATGTTAACATCACACATTTTAAGTTAGTCATACCATTCCATTCCACTGTGACATTATTTATGAATAATAAATAATTGCTGGGCTATGCAAAGAGCTGTATCTCATTCTTTCCCATCTCTCCTCTCCTCTTCCTCCTCTCTCTCTCCTTCCTTCTCTCTCTCTTTCATACTAGGATTAAATCTAGTTCTTCAGGCTTGCTAAGTAAATACCACAGAGCTGTATCGCTGTATCCCCAGACTTCTTTCAATCTTTTATTGTGAGACAGGGTATCCACTAAGTTGTACAAGCTAGACTTGAATTCACACTGAAAGTGAGACACACCTTAGACTCGTGATCTGCCTGTCTCAGCCTCCCAAGTAGTTGGAATTCCATGGATTAGATACAGCAACAACTTTTCCCTTTAACTTTTTATTTTGTTAGATTTAATATTTGTATGTTTTATCATTATATCTTTCACTTTTCTACTTTGGGCTTCTGAAACTATCACTGGGTAATTCATAGACTCCCCAAAAGACCAACACAATACAGCTGAATATATGGCTAATCTCTGTATTCATTTATCCCCTTAAAGATACCCTTTTAGATTTCTCTACACTCTTGCTCCAGTCTGAACTAGAAATAGAATTCCCCCTTCGTATCTCCTATATTGGATTTTTCTTTCTGTCTGTCATGGCTTCCTGTCTCTTGTAAATTGTCTTATTTTAGGTAGTACATACCCTCCAAGAAATACTTGAGAAAGTACTTGTGAGGTTAGTATTTTAGGATCTAATGATTCAGGAAACTGTTGTTACTATTACTATATGCCCTTGATACAGAATTCTAATTTAAAAATGATCCCCAGAATTCCAAAAACAATGACTTACTGTCCTTTTACTCTTTTTGTTAAGGAAGTCTGATGTCATTTTGATTTCAGATTCTTTATATGAAATCAGTTTTCACTTGAGACAGCATTCACTTCTTCCCTTTATAAGAGTAGAGATTTCATTCTGAGGTCTATCTGCTTGTTGACTCTAGAAAATGCTCTGGGGTTTTCCCATCAACTCACACTAAAAAATGTTGGACATCCTCATGAAACCTCTGGTTTTAGTTTTTCCATTTCCCACTCTTCAACATTTATCCTACTTTATGACAGATTATTTTTATCAACTTCTAAGACTTCTATGAATGCTCCTAAATTTTCACTGTCACAATTTTAAGGATCCTTTTGTATCCTGGTTGCTATAAAAGCATTTTGATCACTATTCTCTTGGTTAATATTAATGATGGTTTTGAATGTGCTTCCTTTTTCTGTTCTTTTCACTAATATCTCTCTTTTCTTTTAATCTTTTGAGATTTTTCTCATTGGAGGCTCTTCTAAAGTCTCTGGCAATGATTGACTGACATATAAGTGACATCACCAGAAGCTGAGTGAGAAATCTAAGTGTATGTGTGTGTGTGGGGGGGGAGTGAGAATTATTGAATGATAAGCTTCAGTATAAAATAATGATGCAGAAAGTACATTTTTCCTTAGGGAATCCAAAATGTCAACACTTTCTTTTATACTGGGATATCCCCAAATTCTGTCTTGTCTGGAAGATTCACTTGAATGCCAATATTATGCATGATGTTACAAGATCACAGCTTCTCAAGAGGTCAAAATTTTAGTCTCTTGATAGGTTATGTGCGCCTAGTGATCGTGGGAAGAAACAGTAGCCATTATCATGCCATGTGACTGAGGGCCCGTCTTTTATTGATTTCAAGCAGCCAATTTGTCAACCATTCTCCTTTCTATGTCTGCCTTCCATAACAAAGCACCTTTTTCTTTTCTGCTGACAGTTATAACTCTACTATCCATTTCTCATGTATCCCAAACTTTTAGTGGCCTTTCTTTCTACCTGTACTCAAAGGTTGCTACTTCTAATCCTTAGCTGTTTCTGTATTAGGAATTATGTGAAATAAATGAATGTGTTAATTTGCTGTGGTTAACCCACAGTCAGATACTCCAATCTTAACACTGTTGATTCTTAAAAATGTCATTAAAATATTTTCTTTTCTTCTTATAATAAACATTAAGCCATTACCTTGCTCGTCAGATTTCTATCATAATAGAAAGCTTCCTAGTTCATCAACTGCAGAGAAAATAACTCAAACTTGGCCAAATTAGTAGAGAAAAAACAGGTGGTTTGTATATAATTCTCAACATTACTATCATTCAGATGGACAAATAAAAAAAATTACAGTAATCAAAAACAGACCTTTCAGCACATGTAATTAAATGAAAGCTTAATAAAGAATAATTTGCAAGAGCCAGATGTGCTTATGTCATGATTGTTGCTTTCTTTGGAACAATTTTTCTAATATAACAAGCCTCTAAAGAAATTAAAGTTTCTTAATTCTGTATGCAATGACTCAGTGGCAAGAAAAATTCACAAGTAAGAGTCAAACTGCTATAATTTAGGCAAAGGCAAGGCTGTGGTCTCATTTCTTTTTTACTTTGATGGCTCTTTCCCTTTTGAAATTCAGCATGGCTGAATATGCAGCTCATTTGGTAGAGTGCTTGCCTAGCAAGCACAAAGCCCTGGGTCCTTTCCCAACACTGAATGAAACAGGTATGGTAGCACAATGTCTATAATATTAGGATTTTGGAAATGGAGGCAGAAGGATCAGGAGTTCAAGGTCACCCTTTTATACATATCAAATTTGAAGCCAGTCTGGACTATATGAGACTGTGGCACAAAATAAAATAAATAAATAAATAAATAAAACAAAACAAGTTGGTAGGACCCACAAAACAGCTGCTATGGAACTTCTGTGTGGACTAAAGCCTCTGAAACTACATAGTGAACGACATGGCTAGAGGTAGCTACAAATAGAAAATGCATTGGCTAGTCTTGGGAGTTAGAGCCAATAATTGAATATTAAAGAGCCATTAGGTCTCAGAGACACAAGTCTTTAAGAATAATCTATTCCTCATCAAAGGGAAGTTCATATTGTTTTACTCAATCTTCAGTCTTTTAGAGAGCTGCAACTAATGAAGAATGCGAAAAATAAAGTCTTCAGAAATAAGTCTACATTTTAAATATCTGACTCAATTCAATGATACTTCAGATTTACTGGACAACATAGCTTTTTTTTTTTTTTTTTAGAAACAAGGCAGCATCAATTTCTTTCTCTAAAGTTATGATAATCATTTCATACTCATATCCAATAAGGTCTACAGAAAAGTGACAAGACCCCATAAATTTGTCTTGCTCAGAACTAGTTCTTCTGAGTTGTGATTCCTGATGCATTGCAGAGCCACTGAGCGACATGGACAGTAGGATGCAATATAAAACTCAGCTCAATGAGCCTTCAGATAAAAGTCAGAAAATGGAATACAACAAAAAGAAAGAAAATTAATATATCACATTCTACCTAACAAAGCCAGCCTAGTCATTAAGCTGTAATTATCTTCAAACTGGAGATTTTATATTTGATTTAAATAATAAGATTGCCATTCATCAAGTAGGCATACATTTACAAAACATTTCATGGTTCACTTTCTAAGCTACTGTCAACCTAATGTGTTCTGTGTGCAAAGCTCTGTAGCAGGAATGGAGGGTCCAAAGTCTTGGACCAACATTCATCCCTGGAGGTGTGAAATGCAAACCAACCCTTGACTGTCCGCTTCCTTGTGGTGTCCATCACTTTCGAGCCTTGGGTTTGGTCAGGCATGTGTTGGTGACTATCTTGATAGGATGTAAATTTCCTGAAGACATGAGTG